CCCTACCAAAGTGTCATAGTCAATGGCGCCACTGCCAGTCGTTTTAAGGACAGACTGGGCTAAAAGCTGAAGGTATCTTCTTCAACGGAACTAGGCTGTTTCGTTTTCGTTGGTGAATGCATTACATTCAAATGGAGAGAGGGCTGCACGTCGAGCATAGGGTTTTAGTCTGCTTATTATATCTACGACTGATAAACGAAGATCGGATAGCGGATTAGCCAAGGAAGGTCATAAAAAGAGCCAAGGCGATAGGTTTATTGCCCGTGAAGATGGTTTGCCAATTGTCAATCAGAAAACACTAGAAAGCCTTTCGCGATAGCGCACAAGGCAAGCAGTTTGCGAACGAATGTGTTGTAGCGAGTTCTGGTGGGTTAACAGTTTTAGAAAATAGGACGGGAAAGTGTCCGGAAAGTGTCACACTAGCACCACGCGGCTAACAAGATTAGAAGCGCTTTTAATGGTACATTAGTCGCATCTGGGTCGGTGTGGTTTGAAAGTTCGGCGTCAGTCCTGAAAAAAAGGGTTTTCGCGCAGTTTACGGAGAAAGAACAGAAGAAGAAGGCCTGTCGATCACCGGAATCATAATTTTATTCGCCTGAGCTTTTGAACACTTGCGGGAGTCCAGCGTCAGGCATAAAAGCGTCAACGAAACACAAGCTACAGTTATAGGGGACAGGAACCAATCGACCGTCATAGGGGGCGGAGGCAATCAACCACCAGTGCCGTCAGTCCGGAGATGCCTGCGCCGGACGATGTATGCCGGCGCCAGATCGAGAAATCGATTAACTGAGTTCTCATCCGAGGCCCCCCTCTATATGCATATACACATACCTGGGATGCGAAAATTTCCCTCATTTCGCGAGAACAGCTGAAGTTGTTTACACCGATGCAACGGTGTTGTTGGTACGGGGAAAACAGGCAATCCTGGATAGCAATCTGTTAAATCTTCCACATGGTCCGGTAAATAAGAAGATGCACGTTGCTGCAATAGGAATACTGAAAACTTGCTAGAGATAATTAAGCGCAAGGGAAACTATACTTTCGGTCCACAAACATCGTATCTGGCCCCCAATGTAACCGACAGTACCAATTACGCACAGTTCAGTCAGGGGAAATTTAGTGTCCTAGAAACTTTTCTTGTCTTTCACCTAGACGTTATCTTCGAATGCACGAAGAAGATAAATATCTATATTAGTTTAGGCGTTTGAATGAGTACCTTCATGTGTTTCTGATATTTAGGTAGAAAACGAGCACCCCTCAAATGAACTTAAATATGTTGCCGGATATTGTTTTGCTGGAATATATATTGACAGCTTACTGAACGGATATGGATTTTCCGAAGATCTCAGCTGGAAGAATATTAACTTTGTGAAGGAGGTGGGTCCAAAATATACCCCTATATCTGTTACTGTTTGCACTATTAATATTATAGTGAGAGCACTAAAATGTGCCAAACGTGTCTTTCAGTAAAAACAAATGAAATTAGAAAATGCGAAATTTACCCGATGATTTAGATTTATGTGTCATTATGTTTTCGCATTAAAACAAAAAGTGATTGTTTGCAATAGTGCTTCGAGAACGCTTCCAACTTAATAAGTATGAAGTTACAAATAACCTTATATTTTAATTAAATCGAAGAGTAACTGGATACACTGTATTCAAATAATTCTTGTGAAACTTAGCTGAATCAGAATGGAAGGAAATTTACAGTACCCAGTAAATCAACTTCCCTTGAGTAATGCGGGCACCAATAAAAAAAATCTTCGTATTATACTTTAATGTTATCCCTTTAAGCCATTTCGTGCAGCACATCGACTCGATTATAATTTAAAAGCCTTCCAACTTTGTGCAGTTTACATCGTGCGAAGTATGCACGTATGGAAGTCTATTACTGCTCTAGGCTAATGTTCTTAACACGTTTCGAAAAGACGAATTTATCTAGTGGTCTCGTAAAAAAATTACTAAAGTTTTTATTTTTAACACTTTCAGATTGCCGATACATCCGCAAGCTGGGCTCTGGGATACATGGTAGATGCCACTGGACACATTGAAAGCCTTCCAAGCGAAAATGACCTTTATGAGCTCCTGCTCGTCGTCAGCATGATCGTGTTGTGTCTGGCTTGGTTCCTTACGTTGATTAGCTTACTATTCACATCATGAACGGCCGCCTTTATCATCGGGCGACAAGATTTCTAGCACGGCGTGCACTGACACAGATATTTTTTAGGAGAAATCTCCTGTGAACTCGAGAGATTTTATTTTCACATTTCCTAGAACACATCTATAGCATTGTAGTAATTCAAGAAGTAGCTTTTTTGTTCGATCGCGACTGCAGCAAAGGAAACCCCCGTCCCTTTTGAAAACTGAAGTTCTGAGGCCATACACACTTCTTTAGCCGTTGACGACATTTCCCTACAGTCAAATTCCTTAATAAAAATAATTGTCTATAAATTAGTAAACACAAACATTATGCAGTTTTTAAATGTCCTTTATTTCATTTTTGAAGAATTATGCAATAACTTCCTGTGTAATTTATGCGTCAAAGGTAATTATTACTTCAACCGCTTCAGAAGGTCTATTTGCCGAATATGTTTTTAAGACTTGAAGTATTTCAGTAGAGTTGGGTATTTGGGTGAATTACAGGGCTTTTCCTTTAGCTGATTATTAGCGTGAATGAACTGCTCCGGCACTGGCTTTCAGCTCAAGTAACATGCGACTGTGGTAACAAAAAAT